TATTCTCGCGTACCAAAGACAAAGCAGAAGCCAATATTTGATCGTCCAAACCAAGAGATATATTTTGGGACTAAAACAAGCCTTCAGTCAAACGCTTAGCTAGCTAGTGATCGTGCACGTTACACGACGGGTACCAAATGGCGGGGACGCTTGACCGGAAGCCTTCAGCTAAACGAGTCGACTTAAACAGTGGTGGTCAGCATCCAATGAGTGATTGCTGTGGTCAATCATTTTGGGGAATTATTTACCGCTAAACAGGAATTACTTCACAAGAGCCCTCTCATAAATTTCAGTAAGGACAAACAGACGTTTTTCCACTTCAGTGTTATAAGTTAAGTTTTGCACTGTGTATGCTTTTACAGTAATACATTCGGCAGGGAGGTTTCATATTTTAAATCAAAAGTGTACATATTTTACTCGATCTTATGTACTTCCTGTATAGATTTGATGTTCATCAAATGGCCACTTAATAATTACTGAATGCTGCAACTAAGCTAAAATTATAACTCATAATTCTGATAAGTATTGTCGTTTTCATTGGCAGCAGTTCGCAATCTATTGAGTTTGCACAGCCACAAATCTCATTTCTCACTTTACTGAGGAAACTTTGAAAAGTTCGTACATCATTTTGTGACTTTCATGAATTCTGCGGATCGCATTCTATTCACTCAACTTGAAAATATGAATGACCTCATATTTCCAAGAATGATGTAATGCAAGACGTTTTTCTACATTGTCGTCATTATTAAGTTCAGTTTCATCATACATACACTAATGAAATTTTCTGTCATTTACTTTATGGACTTACCAGGGAACAGTCTGGTCAACTTAGGGTGTGTTGATGATACTATCCACACGAGTTGTGAGAAGTGACCACTGAACCTGGGAGATATGAAAATACCGCTGGTGTTTGGTTGCGGGTGTCTGTTCCCGATCCATTATGTAAGTAGTATAATATGGTCGGTAATATTGGAGTTAAGCGTTGGTGCAAGGCAGAGATGTGACTCAAAATCGTTTTAAATGACGTAGATGCATTCACTTTGTGTAATTTAACGTATTTAGTTAACCCTTATGTTTTTTCCTTGTCATTATTCATCCTCCGTAACGCCTGAGTTCATTAAAGTTCTATTTATTTTTTTCTATGTTAAAACTCAGTCAGTCAGCACTAGTCTCTGCAGCCGAACACTGTCACAACTAACTACAGTGCTTATTGGCTTAGGCAGTTATTAACACAGTTTCATAAGTACTGTATGCATTTTCCCAATTCCTCGAATTATCTAGCTAGAATGAACCGAGGAAATCATGAACCAAAAGTCAGTAACACGGACTTAAGTAATGGTGTGAATATAAGTGAATGAGATGAGTGACCTTTTTATCTCTGTGGTACGCTTAACTAAAATACTTATCTCATTCATTGCGTGACTACTAATTGTTTCATTTTTGTCTTCCTCACTGCAGGTTGTCAGTTTTCGTAGGCATTTCATTAGATGTCGTCATATACAGTATCTGAAAGCAGTCTTTCAATACATCAGCCTCTCACAAAGTTGTTGGTATGAAGCCTTGAGATTATTACCATTTGACCGTAGTACGGCTAGTATGGTTATAATACTGTTGCAATGACACGCAAGACTTGTACATGTTACTGTGAAGTCTGTGCGTAATAGCATTCCCTACATAGTGAATATAATGCTTGTGATGACACTTGGTAATTATCTTTTCATTGCGTTAACAGGTGCTTATGTATTAAAAAAAGTAAACCTCGTCGTATTAGTTCCCGAAAATACTTTCATTTAGCGCCAGTACTTCTGCTTAGTACGGAGTGCTACTCGTCGTCCATGAAATACTTTTCACTGCATTCGTAAATAACTGCCAGAATACTATTATATGGAGTAGCGAGTGGGGAGGCGTATGAAATTTTTATTGTTAGTGTGTATTTTCAGCTACTGACATAGCATATACAAATGTCACTGTAGTTGAAGATTGAACGATCAATTCATGGTTGATTGCTCAAACCGAACTTCCCTATATTTTCGCGGAGGGTCATATACACCAGTCATCGTCTCATCGGTCGCTGTTCAGAAAGCACGTAGAAAAACCGTCAGAAGTAATATCGTGATTTATTATTGTAATATTTGTTCATAGACCTTAATTATTATGCTGCTCATATGTTGGTGTTAGAATAAAGAATTCTCGAGTCGCCAATGGTTGTTTTGGTTTTTGCGTCCGTTAGTACTAAGCGTTTCAGAAAGGCCTCGAGGGACAGTGAGAGGCATGGCGTAGCAACAGCTGGGCATTAACGGTTTTTGAGACGTGATTGATAACATATGTACACGTTTCATTACCAGACAAGAAAATTTCATAGAGTAATGGAGGGCTGAACGCCGTAAGTTAATAGTGTATTCATTACTGCGTATACCTTGTGTAATTGAAATGATTCTATTCAGTTGTCTGCAAGGCTACAGGCTTTCTTCGCTGAACTTCCTTGGGGTTCAATGGTTGCTGTTGACGGATCCTGCCAGAAACACTTGCCGAATAACCTTTTCAACTAAAAGTGGTAATTTTGATATCATTGGATGTATGATCTATCTGTGAACTGAGGAACTCTAGTGTAACACAGCGCTACAATGCAATGCCGCAACTACGGTTGTTGCAAAAATATCTCAGAGCTTGTCATCGAAAAGGAAGGAGGGTGACGCATGCTGACCAGCGGATATGGTAATGGTCGCAGATGTGAATCGCTCCAATCTGTAGGACAACAACATGCATTTTTCGACAGTCCGAGAATTAAACATTGGTGTAGACCCTCAACAAAAACAATAATAATAAGGGTTGTACAGATCTAAATTAAAAATATAAAAGCGCTTTTGCTCCCACAATCTATGGGCCTGTTCAGCTTCTTATCATGATGCTATCCATCGGGCCCTATAGAAATTCGTGAGACATCTTGCAGGTCAGCTTGTCCTACGGCTCCTAATTTTCTAGATCTCTGAATTCACTCCTCACTTAAATATCACGTACCTGCCTCACAATGATCTTTTTATTTACGCACTATTACGCTCTAATTTATGTTAACTCCCTAGGCCATTATTGAAGCTAAAACTTGACCTTTGTTCATATTTGTTGCTTGCCCAAAGTCTGGCTGCTTTGATTAAAAACACAACAACACCAGTGTTTGAACATAGCTGTATCTTCATCGAAAACATCACAGTTTCCATGCTGAGACCAATATGCTTAGCATTATGCATTGCAAATGCATACTATCATTTCAAATACTATATATTTTGTTCTTCATGTATTTATCTTGTAAATATACTTCCAATAATGTATTATTCATAATTGCACTTTGTACCATTTTGCAGCTAGGCAGAATATTCTTCTCTTCCTGAAATATTTTTTTTATTTTTTATTTTATTTTTGATTTACAGCTTGATTCCACACTGTATTTTTGGTACAAGTATGGAATTTTCAGCATGGATATCGGTAGCCCAAATTTTGCAGGCCGACCATAGATATCAGGTGTGCGCCGGCTCGAATCCCGGACCATATGCATGGTCGGCGAGAGTCCTAACCACTGTGCCACCGACGCACACGTTCAATCACGTGTGGCATAACACTCATCCTGATATACGCTGTTCACTGGTTGACCACAACTATCAGCAGGAAACGGAACGAAGTTCGGGTTGTCGCTCAACTTTGATGGTGATCTTAGTAAACGGTTTACAGTTTAACATTTTTAAGAACCTCCTCTGATCGCTTTTTTAACAGCCCGTACTTTTGAGAAAGTATTAATTTATGATACTTCAGTATTGTAATTTACGACATTACTGATCGTGACTGTAAAAACAATATGCATTTCTTGTAAACTTACCCGTTTATTTGAAACATAACCCATTATTATGATGGCATGACGAAAGACCGAACAGTTTGTCTCTTCCTCTGTCATACCATGGGGAGAGAAGAAATTTTATTACAATGCTTGATATTTTAGATAGTAACTACAGGTCTGATCTGTCCTCCCTTTTCCCTCCCACCACATCGGAAAACCGTATGGGTGATGGCAGGGCAGTTCAAAAGTCAAAGAGAAACCGTATTGCTGCAGATTTCTGGCTATTACACCGAGACATCAGCTCCTAGAACCAACTTCCAGAAGAACTGGTTTCAGTGACCTTGGCTTACAAAAGAAGGGTTTAGACAAGCACAGAAATTTACTAGAAAAGGAATACGAAACGCTTCAAGCCTTCTATCCTCAATTTAAAAATTTAAAATCTTATAGTATTTATGGGGTAATTAGATGCAATATCGTAATTCACGCTGAAAATTCCATACCTGTACCACAAATAGTGTTTGGAATAAAGCTGTTATCAGCAAATATGAATTCTGAAAAATATTTTTTTTGGCTTTTGAATGGCAATGCAGTATTTGTTTTCCTAGGTAGAATGATTATCCTTTGTGGTTTACGTGACTTGAAAGTGACATTTTCTCACGAATTTTTGCGATTTGAAGGTTTGTGGTGGACCTTTTACTCTGTTAGCTTAGTTACCCAAATTCAAATAGAAAAGAAAGCACCAAATCAGTTTAGTTACGGGAAGAATGTATTAAAGTTTGGTTACTTGGGTTTACAAAGATCCAAAGTCCACAATAAACGTAATAGACTCTGGAGGCGCTGCGGGAAGACTGCTCCAGTACTAATTCTCCAATTTTGACGTTGCCGAAGGTCGACCAAAGTACGTAGGAAGAACTACGGTGCTCCTGCAAAAATTTGAGATAGAAAGCAGGTGATTATAATTGATCGACGGCAGTTGGGATGGTGGAGAAGACGGAGAGTCGAAGGGAGAACTATATATTTTCAAAACCCGAGGTAAAATTCAAAGTACAGAGTTTTTGGTCAAAACAAAATAGTGTACAATATGTTCATTATTTACATAGTAGTAAAATTTGGATAAGTTTATTTTTGAGGACTCCACAGGTTCTCAAATACTGTTGTGCCTTCACTGGTACTAGCTCAGGGCGGGTTGGTTGATGTAAGCGTCACAATAAGACTAGGTGGGATTGATATTTGTCAGTAAGCAGCCAACACTATATATAACCATATATGTACAATGTTATAAGGACACAATATTAACTTCGCACTTGAGTATAACTAGATAATATAATAACTGTACTGGGTATAGCTCACAGTGGTTCATTATTACTCATTTTAATGTTGAAATACATTGGTTAACGAATGAAAAGATTTTCTCTGGAATTGAAAGTGATGTAGCTGTTTGCCCTACCCATTTTTTAGTCAAAAAATGAATTTGATTTTAACTATAGACTTTATGTGTCAGGAATCCAGAGATGCATTTTTTTCGGGCGCATTGCAGAATTTTTGGGGCAGACTTCGGGCAAATTGCAGAATTTTTGGCTAACTTAGCGCGCATTGCAGAATTTTTGGGGCAAACATTGGGCAAATTGCAGACTTTTTGGGGCAGACTTAGGGCAAATTGCAGACTTCTTGGGGCAGACTTCGGGACAGTGTCCCACGTAAGTAGATTTACCCGAAGTTTTTTGCCCCAAAAATTCTGCAATGCGCCCGAAGAAAATGCTAGCTGGGTGTATACAGTTTTGTCATCGAGTAAATTTATCTCATAAGGTGTAAGTAACACTATGTTACACTGTGGTACTTTATCAAACAAATTTACTTTATGATGGAGTTATACTCCAACACAGTGTTCAAGTTCTATTGTCATATTAGAGATATACATTTTTTGCTGCTCAGTGATTGTCATATACATAGTTCCACCACTAAAGAACCATGCACCAACATCTTAAAAGATGACTTGGGTTCATCATAAAGTTTCCCTAGTGCTGACTACAAAAACGAACTTAAATGAAGTATCTCCTGGGATTGCCACTTCTTCAAGATGTTAGGGTTGCCATTATGAATAGATTTAGAGTTGATGACATTTATTTAGTTTGTTTACTCATCCACATTTCCCTGTTAAGTAGTCTTCAGTCCTCTTACTGGAAACCATGGTAACTCAACCGAGGGCTTCAGGGGAAGACTACGTAACTGGATAAGAGAGATAAACAGTTCAGCTTTAGTTACCTTGGTGAATACATGCACAGAAACGAGTCTAACTTAGCAACTGATACTCCTCATTATAACTAGGACGTATTTTTAAGTCATTTCAGAGAAAGATAACCTGCTTAACGTGCTTCCGAGCATTTTCTTGTCAATATACATAATTTTTTGTGCAAAAGTTCCTCATTTTTATGATCGGTCGGCTGAAGGTCACTCGTGCGTTCGCACTCCTGGGACGCTATTGTTGAACTTTGCCGTCATTTACCTTACAATTCGAAATGAATAAGTATTTCATTATCACTATTGTCGTTCGTATTAAGTGAATGTCAATTCCAGTATTCTGGTGTGCATGCCAAGTAATTTCTGAGTTCTTTAGGGCGATCGGGTATGGACTTCAACCTATTATGATGTATGCGATTAATAGAAGCAAGCTTTCCGTTTATAAGTCGACATTTTCCCAATGGACAAAGAATAGTGAAAGTATATAACTTAACAAATCCTTAGAAACAATAGCGTCATATTGTATTTACACTTGTGTATGGGTGACGACTTGTTGTCCACAGAAGGCAATGTTCTGTATTGTGTATTGAACGTAACGTGGTGTTCTTTAACTTGAAATCCTATTGAATCATATGGTTCCGCATTCCTCGTTTTCCTTGACCGGGGGAAGAGGATGGTCAAAGGGCTTTGTGTACTTTCCTAGGCCAGAAAATTACTATCATCCTTTTCTGTTTGCAATAGGGTGTCTTCGTTATTCTCGACTTCAGTGTTCTTGCTGGCCTTTTACCAAGATCTTCACCGGATTATAGCCCTTATTTTCCTGCTCATCTTTACCTGAAAACTGATGGCTCAGTTTTCATATTGCCTGCGGTCTTTACAGGGCTGTTTCACAAATGCCGATTCCTCCTTATTGTTCATTTACTTGGAAACACAATTTGTTCAAAATAAATTAAAGGATGACAAAAGTGCTTACATTCTAAGCGTCGGTTTACGCATACCTTCACAGAACTAAATATCATGCAACTTTGAAAGTTTATTGAAGATATAGTTTGCGGATGTTAATGGTCGGTTTTCAGCCGATAGGCCTTATGTTTGAGTCCTGTCCCACCTACTTCAGCCTGGGCAAATGGGTACTATTATCGGCCTTCGCACGATAAATTTGGCTCTTAGCTTGGTATATGAGAATTCTGTTCCGGGTAATTTGGCCTAAACAATCTTAGTAAGTTTGGAATAAGCTATCACATAAAAAGTGGTATGATCATCGGTTGGTGGACAAAATATGAGTCATCTATGGCTTCACTGTATGCTTGAAATCCTGTTCCACACTTGTAAAACCTGATGTCTTGGTTGTGGATATCAGGGAACTCCATGTGTTTGGTCATTACTGTTTCCGAAAAATTACTCGCACCAGTAGCGACATCACTGGCTACCCTTAGCTCCCACGGTAACTGTTTGGATAGGTGAAAGATCATGTTATGATGGTTGGTATCATCTTGTGACATCTGTTGAGGTGCCTTTGATGTGTTGCTAATGTCATCGGAGCGTCTCTCATACGTTCAATTTTGCGAAAAGTAGTCAGTCCATGATTTGACTTTATGGAATAAATAATGCTTGTGTTAGTTTAGTACCTATCGATACATCTTGACTCCTTGGGTGGGTCTCGAGGGTCTGTGTCTGTCTGTTTGTCTGTTTTCGACATAGAACTTTGCACCGATGTGCGGCAGTTCGAGTCGCCACACTCCCTCCATGCAGTACACAAAGCAAGAGAAGAAAGTAGAAGAAATGTAAAATACAGACAGTAAGTTGAGGTGTTAGACAAAGGAGTAGTAATAACGAAGAACAATTTAGTTTCATTGGAAATTATAAGTCACAAGGAGTGGATGCATCTGCGCCAGCCATTGAGAACGATTTTGAGCTATATCACAATTGTTTCCAGCCTGCATTGGTTTTTACCGTCCCGAGGACCCCAACCAGTCAGGAAGTCTACATCTTCCTACGTGGCTGACTGGCTTGAACTAACTGTTGTAGATTTCATTGACTGGTGCCATGTTTTGGTTTGACCGCCGATAGCTCTTTTCCAGCCTGACCCTATGTCAGTTAACACTTCTCGTCGAGGAAGGCGATGACTAGGCATACGTAGCACATGTCCTAACCATCTCAGTCGATGCAACTTCACAGCCTCGTCGATCGATTTCCCCTCCAACTTACCTAGCAGACGATCGAAGCCTAACCTCAATATTGCTCACCCTACTATACCACTTCACATGGAAAACAGAACGCAGATACCTATGATCAAAGACAGCTAGCCTTTTCATGTCTTGCAGTCTCAGTGGCCAGGTCTCACAGCCATAAAGGAGGACGTTGTGGACTGCTGAGCAGTGCACCCGCCCTATGTAACTTGGTGACTCCTAATAGGCTTTCAAATTACTTTAGTTCAAATTCAAAATATATATGTCTTAATGTGATTCGTTTTCTTGTTGTAGGTGAAGATACACCCCTGGTGAATCAAAATTTCAATTTACATGCACTACTAAAGAAGCAAGTCAACCCTACTGATGGCTTTGCATTTACGTTCATCAGGATTTTATCCAGCTGTGTTGTCCCGATTTTTTTCTTGTAGTCTTGTTAGAAATAAAAAAGAAGGTTGGTTATTGTTTGTCAAATGTTGTATAATTTTGTATCCATTTAGTGAAGTATACAGTAAATAAAAACGTCACCACAGTAAGTTCTACAAATTTTATATGTCACTGAATTTTTTAAAAAAAAACAAACAAATAGGTTGAAGGCGTAATTGTTCCTTCAGAACGTAAAGGAAAAGTTGTATGTTTAGATGGTTTCGGAGATCCTCGAGATACTGACCCTATCACACGCTTAGGGTTGCAAATACGTCATACAGTAAGTTTTAGTTTTTTTCTAAAATTATTATTATTATTGTCATTTTAGGATGTACGGATTTTATCACAATTTTTAAGACCTGATGGAAGTGTTATACCCAGAAGTGTTAGTGGTATAAGTCTTAGGTCACAGAAACATATAGAATTAATGATTGAACGTGCAAGAAAAGCCGGTGAGCTCATTAATACATTGAAAATGATTTAAAATCTTTTTTATTTTATATGAAGAAAACCATTCAATATAATTTTTTAATTATGGGGATCTCATTTTATGATCTAATAACTTGTAAGACTATGAATATCTTGTATTTAAAGACCTCACACAGTTCTTCTCTAACAAAACAGGAGTAACTAATGTAACAGGATAATAAGGACTCGTTTTTATCACTTTGTTGATTCGTTTCAGTTATACCAAAACATTTAAATTTCAAAACGACTTTAGCATACTCTTACTACATTTACAGTGAGTTTTTGGTTTCATCTGAACTTAGGACTTTGTATAGAAGTGTAACAGTTTAAGTTGTTACACTCCATTTAACACACAAAGGTCGGGGGAAAAATCAAAAGAACTATAATGACCAGGAAAGACGGAAGGACTTAATCGATATCGGAGATTAAAAAGAGTGAACGTATCTTTACGAATGGGAACAGTTTTAAGCCATATCACTAAAAGTCTCAAGCCATTTGTCCTTAGCTTCTCTCTGACCGTAACCAAGCAGTCTACACCTTACCTAGATCAAACTGACAGTCGACAACTTCACAAATCACTCCTAACTCTTCCCCACCCCAATTCTATGTCTGCTAACAAGTTTTGGGAAGAAAATTTAAATAACACAAGTACAGAATGACGTACGTTGTTAAATTACCAAGTATTAAATGTGTTGTCCTTTAATGAGATAATTATACGAATATTCTTGAGTAAAAATCGTAGAAAGAAACACAGCGTAACTAAGGAGTATGTCAGTATGATGGTCAGTCCTTTTAAATTCTGATAATCTAGTTACTTACTTCATTCCAGGCTTATCTTACTTATAGTTCCTACCAATAACTCCTTGTCAGTGTGATAAAAGTATACCCAAACCTTTGTAATTTAAATATTTCGACTAAAGAAATTCCAAAACAAGTCTTAAGCAAGCGATTACTTATTTTCGGTAAATTCCCATCAAGCTTTACAATTATATGACAAAATATCCGTCACAGATATTTCAAACAATGTGGATCAACAGGATCACACATATTCAAAGACAATGAGGGTATAATGATAATAATAAATTGTGAGACTAAGAATAAACTAGGCACCTATTGCACAGTATGATATTGACAATGAAGTTAGCAGTACAAATAAAAATAATATTTACAGTTATCCTTTGTCACTGGGATAACTATTCTATGTTGGAGTTGAAGGCCATGAGAAGCAGAGGGATTGAAACTTTTTCTGAGCACAAAGATTGGGCTGAAAATTCTTTACGGTAACTACCTCAGCTATGCTTAGCAATCGAAGACCTACGAGTTTAGGGAATTGAAGTGTGGTATTTTGTATAGAATTGTGAAGGCGAGATTTTTTTATCAGTCTTGTCATCCGTATTCACAAGGTGTGCCAATATTGAACTCCTGATTAACTTTATAGCTTCTTTGCCTAGCCACTTTGATCAGTGCTCAAGAAGGCGATGATGGTCTTGTCCAGGCCTTCTACCTATGAAACTCTCTACATGAGGAGTTAAATTTATACATGCACATTGAAATAGCCAGACTCTGTAGCTTATCCTTCACCTGCATTGAAATTATATAATGAGTGGTGAATTGTAAACATGGTGTTGCAGCAGAAAAGTGGTAGTTACTATTTTTCCGATTTTCGATACCAGTAATTCGGTGGCTGTGTCTCCTTTGAACAGCAAAGTCATGTATTTATACTTTTCTTCTTATCTATCTGTTCTCATCATGGAGACTAACAAATGTTTTGGATATCCGTTCTTATATAATACGCTTTCTATTTTCGTTATTTCATCGTCAATTGTCGGTTGTGCAGATTTTTGTAGCACGAAACATCAGGGTAGTGATGAAGTTTCGTTATTGTAAGGAATCCATAAAACGATACCCTGCTTCATTTGTTACCAGGCTGTTGTATTTAATTGGTAGATTCATTCCTTAATTTATCACTATTATTCGGTCTGTCTTCTGGAATAGTTGTGAAGCATTAAAATCAACGAGTTCAATTGAGGGTTCTATAGCCAACACACTGATTGACTATTGGACTGTTATATAAAATCATTTTTCAGTTTTATCAAAAATATGTCAACTATAACATTTTGTCAGTGATGTAAGAGTAGAATTGGGGCACCGTGACAGAGCATAATTCCATGTCAGAGATGCCACAGGAGATGCCACAGCTAGTTCACGAGGATTAGCTGGCGTAGGGATAGCTTTGAGTACTAGGGCAGAAAAGACATTGCTTGACTGGATCCCGGTAGATAGCCGAATGTGTGCTGTCCGCCTGAACGGATCAGTAAGAAGGAGGAAGGACTGCACTACTCGCCGATGCCTTTTCGTAATCTCCGCCTACGCCCCCACTGACTGCAGTTCAGATGAAACGAAGGATGAGTTCTACCAAAAGCTGTCTAGTTTGGTGGAAAGGCTAAACGCTCAGACATAGTCGTTCTAGCTGGTGACTTTAACGCTCAAGTAGGGAAATTGTGTCAATCTGAGAAGGATGTCGGTGGCACCTATGGAGCTCCGTGCCAGCGAACCGACAACGGTGACCGTCTCCTACAGTTCTGCTCTGATAATCATTTGTTTCTTGTAAGCACTAACTTTAAACACAAGGAGAGACACTGTTTGACTTGGAGACCCCCTTCATCAAACCAACGCTGGACACAAATAGACCACATAGCAATAAGCTATCGTTGGCGTGGGTCGGTAGGAGATTGTCGCTCCTTCTGGAACACGTGCGTAGATACCGACCATGCACTGGTCCGCGCTCGGGTGTGCTTACGACTGAACGGACGTAGGAAACAGCTGGCGGTAAAACCATCACGTCCCCAGCTCGATCAGGAAACTAAATCCGTATTTCAGGAAGAACTAGCTAAACACATATCTGTGTTCGACAGCTGTGCTCACCCTGAAGAAGCTTGGAAAAATATCCAGGCAGCCATAGATACAGCTGTAAAAGCTGTGAATAAGGTAAACCCAAAGGTGAGTAAAAACCACTGGATCTCCACCGCCTCATCCGAACTGATAGATGCTAGAAGACTTATTCCGGCGAGCTCCGAATTCAATGAGGAGCGAAAGCTGCACAAGAGGAAACTTACGAAAAGTCTCCGCAAGGACCGTGAACAGTGGTGGGCGACAAAAGCCAAAGAGATGGAGAAAGCTTCGAGGATAGGCAACACCAGGCAACTCTTTGGACTCATCAGGGAAACGGGTGGGAGAAGACAAATCATCAGTGAGACAATCTCGGAAAAAAATGGCACTATAATTAGCTCCAGGATAGACGACTGGATCGTTGGAAAGAGCATTATGAGGAGCAGTTTAATTTGCCCACAGCCACGCTCAACCTTCCGAGCATCCAACACCTCCCTGAATGGGATATAAACACAGGTCCTCCGTCACTAACTGAGGTTACTAAAGCTGTCACCAATCTGAAACTAGGCAAAGCAGCGGGACCTGATGGAATGACTCCAGAGGTATTTAAGTACGGTGGAGACAGCTTACTGTCCGGATTAACTGAGGTACTAGGCAGCGTCTGGGAATCAGAAGAAGTCCCATCGGGTTGGTGTAAGTCACTGATTATCCCCATATACAAGAAGGGAGACAAGTCTTCCTGTGATAATCACAGAGGGATTAGCTTGACTAATATAGTATCTAAAGTCTTAGGCTCAATAATCATGCGTAGACTGAGTGGTGCTCGGGAAGCACAAACACGAGAGAGCCAGGCAGGCTTTAGACCAGGAAGAGGGTGTATTGATCATATCTTCACCCTCCGACAGATTCTAGAACATAGGCATTCCTACCGGCGTCCAACAGTCATTATATTTCTTGACCTAAAGGCAGCATTCGACTCTGTCGATCGGGAAGTTCTCTGGAGATGCTTGGCTGTAAAGGGAATTCCAAGAAAATATATTGCACTGATTAAGGCACTCTACTCGTACTCATACAGCCAGGTGAGGGCTTACGGCGAGCTGTCATCTGAACTGATGACGACCAGTGGTGTCCGTCAAGGATGCCCATTATCTCCTTTTCTATTCAACTTCATCATAGATGTGTTAATGGACTTAACCCTAGGTGACTTCAGCGACTCAGGGATTGACTTGCTACCGGGGAATAATCTCGTTGACTTGGAATATGCAGACGATATAGTCCTTCTAGGCGAAGACGCTGACGAAATGCAGAGTCTTCTAAACACCTTGAGCCGCAATCTACGAATGTTTGGCATGCGATTCGCTCCCGCCAAATGCAAGATGATGTTACAGGACTGGACTACATCGACGCCTAGTTTAAAAATAGGAAGTGAAGTGGTAGAGCACGTTGACCGCTTCACTTATTTGGGAAGTACCATCAGCCCCAACGGGCTGATCTCTGACGAAATCTCAGCACGAATACAAGGGGCTCGTTTCGCATTTGTTAGTTTACGCCGACTCTGGCGTAGACGAGATGTTCGACTATCGACCAAAGGGCGGGTGTACTGCTCATCAGTCCGCTCCGTCCTCCTTTATGGTTGTGAGACCTGGCCACTGAGAGTGGAAGACATGAAAAGACTAGCTGTCTTTGATCATAGGTGCCTGCGTTCTATTTCCCGTGTAAAGTGGCATAATAAGGTGAGCAACATGGAGGTTAGGCGTAGAGTTCTAGGTAAACAGGGGAAATCAATCGACGAAGTCGTGAAGCTACAAAGACTGAGATGGTTAGGACATGTGTTACGTATGCCAAGCCATCGCCTCCCTCGACGAGCAATGTTAGCGGATATAGGGTCAGGCTGGAAAAAAGCTAGCGGCGGTCAAACAAAAACTTGGCATCAGTCAATGAAATCCACAACAGTTGGTCTAAGCCACGTAGGAAGGTGTAGACTTCCAGGCTGGGGTCCTCGGGACGGTAAAAATCTATGGTTGGAAACAATTGGTGACATGGCTCAAAATCGTTCTCAGTGGCGCAGATGCATCCACTCCCTGTGACTTATGATCTTCAATGAAACTGTTTTGTATTTCTTTATTACTCCTTTGTCTCACACCTCTGCTCACTGTTTCTATTATGCTTTTCTTGTACTTTCTTCTCTTGCTTCGCGTGCTACACGGAATGTGGCGACTTGAACTTCCGCACATTTGTGCAAAGTTCTATGTCGAAAACAGACAGACAGACAGACATGTCAGAGAATTTGCTAGTTTATTATTGTTATTATTCTTAACTGGATGACGTTCTAAGCACAATTTATTTCCCCTAGTCATTTCAGGGTATTCATTTGTCTCCTTGGTTTGCACTAGTTATCTCATTATTTTCCAGATTGTCGTGTCATTTCTATTACAAAGATTGAGTGTTTAACCTCTCTATCTCTCGGACTGGTACTTGATATATATCCACATAATATGTGTGTTTGTTTGACAGTCTGATATATTTTGCTATGTATATATGAATCGATATTCCATTATAATTAGCCAATCATGTTAAGACTGTCTATTGATTTGTTCATTTTGAATATTCGCTCACACACTTGTGTTCACACACTTGTTCGGACATTCATATTTTTGCTCTCACACTCTTGTGTGACATTTTGATTCTCCTTGTGTTTGGAAAATAGAAGTATCATCGCAAACCTAGTGGTCTTCTGATTTCCGTCTTTCTTGCGTCAGGACTATTGAATTCTCGACCAGTACATAACAGTATTATTTTCTAATACTTTCGTCTTGTCTCACACCGTTGTGCGTTAGTAGTCTTATGTCTAAAAAGAAATGGTTAAGGATTTTTTTCCACATTACTTATCTTAGTAGGATCTATCATTGTAGCAACCAAATCATTGTGTCTTAATAACCTAACCGACGCCGGTCAACTGGTTTAACGTACGTTACTTGAGTCACCGTCATTATATGGCATTCGGTAAGAAAGTAGTGCTAATACCTTAACACAGTTATAAATCCTGTAAATAACACTTAATACTTTGTGTTTTTTATACTAGCGATGACAGTTGTAACCAATATAAAGTGTGACAGATCTATTTATTATGTACAGTATAGGATTTTTAAGAATATCTAGTCAGTGAATGATGGCTGGTATCAAGCCCCGTATTATTAAAAAATTAATTTTCAGTCTGCTCGATAAAATCGGATTGATTCAAATTTTGATTTAAATATGTGTATTAGTTCCTGTAGTGAAAATCATTCTTCCTAACCCCTGCCAACACTGACCGAAACTGAGTTCCAATGGAGAACTTTTCACAAAAGTGCGCTAGTTCAAGTTACCGCACTCAGTTTAGTGCAAATAAAGGCAGAAATGAACAGAGATATACGGGAGGGTGAATAGCATGGGAAAAACATGAGGATTTAATGGGTCTTGGTGGTTACGAAGAATGGATGCATCCGCGCTATTGGGAACAGTTTTGAGCCAGTATCACCAATAGTCTGCAGCTATAGGTTCTTAGCATTCCAAGAATATCGACCAGGCTGTCTAAAACTCCTTACTTGGCTCTAAAGGATTTTCAATGACTTGATAAATTAGTTCCAGGCTTTGGTTTGACAAATTCTTTACTCTT